AAATGAATTAAGTGTACGATACGCGGAGCGGCGAGCGGTGGAGGTCTCTCTTTTCTAGACTGGTTAGCACAGGGGGGGATGGTAGATGGTGGATGGTGGATGGTAGATGGTAGATGGTGGCTTTTTGTTAGAAACACTTTCTGTGTTGGCCTGTCATTCTCTCACCGAAGAGAAGTGCTGAAGCAATCGTAATTGCCGGGCACTTAATTAGCCGAACATCGCTTAAAGTGTCACAGAATCAACAAAGGGTTAAGTGTATGCCAGTCAAAGTTTCCACTTCCGACAGCTCTAATGTTGCTGGTCATTCAGTGGATACATATCATATGTGTATGATTAGGACTAAAGCCAAAGATCAGAGATCCTAGAGGTCCCCAAATATCGTATATACTCGCACAAGCTGACTCGCACTCGTCTGGCTTTCATTCAGGTTTTTTTTTCATGCCTTTTCACTCCACTTAATTAAGTATGTGGACCCCCCCCCCCCCCACCCCCAACCAAAAACCCTTAATTAAGTTGATTGCTTTGAATCGACTGGAATTTATTAGCCAGGATTGCGTTTGTTGACTCTCCAGTCAAATGGCTCTGCCACACAGACAGACACACACACACACACACACACACAGACACACAGGGGGAGCCTCCTCCCTCACATTGGTTGGGGGTGGCATGGCATAATTGATGAGCCGACAGTTTGTTAATTGATTTCGCTCTGTGATTAGTACTTTAGTACCGAAATCCGAATTGATTTTATCAAGAAATGGAACTAAATATTTAATTGTGGGACCTCCTCTGTGCTCAGTGGAAGTGGGTCAGTAGCCAGCAGACAGGAGCCAGCAGCCAGGAGCAGTCCCAAAGGTGCCAGGAGACAAATAACCAAATTAAAGTGCATCCATATGCAGTGCCACAGCCACAGCCACAGCTACAGACAGAACTAGAACTAGAACTCTGTGTGGCACTGTCTGGTGTCTGTGTCCGCAGGCTGGCCAAATATTTTGCCAATAAAATGAATCGTAGAAAACTGCTTGACCAAGTGACTGTCATGGCTTTGGCTTTGGCTTTGGCTTTGGCCCCTAACCACAGGAACGAAGTCCATCTCAATCAGAGCAGAGCAATGAAGTTTGTGGCCAAGAAAAAAGGAGAAACGAACATTCAAGCGTTCAATCAGAGAGCCATGAAACTGGCTCCAAAGTGGATTTTAAACACGAGGAAAAACTTTCTCCATAAACACACGCCGGACCATTTCAAAAAAGTTGACATTTTAACTAACTTTGGACCTTCACATATACCCCACACTTATCCCACTCTTATCTTCTATGTAGAACTGGAGCCTTTAGTTATGTATGATATTTTGTCATATCTAAACCACAAAATACGAATGCTCGTACTCGCACTCGCACTCGCACTCGTACGATAGCTGGAAACTTTTTTGTGCTGTCATAAATTTCCGCAATGCAAACATTTATCAGAATGGCTATGGGATTCCCAGAACCTCAGCGTTGCGAGTGTGTCCTCATCCTGGCATCCTTCCTCTGCCTTCACTGACGGACCTTATATGTTTCGGGATGCCAGTATCTGCTGCTTCTGTTTCTGGGACTCTCTCAGTTTCAGTTTCTGTTTCTGTTTCTGGTTTCTGTCATTTGGGTCGTGTGTTGAGTAAATGCTTTTTATTCCGACCGCAGGACCAGATGGTCTCTGCGTTTCGCAGAGCGACCACCTGATATCCTACCCCCAGCATCTGCGCTGCTGCCTTTCCTCGGAGAACTCATGTGGCATGTGTGTGTGTGTGTGTGTGTGGCATGCACTGAGAAAATCATTGGAAAATAAGAGCTGAATGACTCTTTAAAGTCTGCCTGTAAAATGTTTAACTTTTCCCATTTATTTAAATTTCTTGTAATAACTTAAGTGCTGACATATTGTCGCCTTGCCACGCCTCCATTCTCCATTCTCCATCTCCATTCTCTCTCGTTTGCTTTACTTTCACTTGCGGCGAAACTTTTTTCCTTTATTTATTTTCGGCCCCCAAGTTTTTCCCGCTTTTATTGTGTCGCTGCGAAAATTTAATGAATTTTAATGAAAACTTATGTGCCGAATGCCGAGAGAGTGTCTTGCATGTGGCGCCCCGTAACATCCTGGCCCTGCCACGGCCCCTCCCCCATTTGCATGACAAAACACTTGCAATTGTCGTTTAATGTCAATTTAAACTTTTCATGTGCCCATTGGAATTCATTGGAGCTGCTCCAGACTGAAGGAAAACGCAGATGGTGACAGCCATTCGTTGGTAATCTTTTCTATATTTATGCGAAGCTCAAGTCCTTCATTGACTGCTCCTCCTCCAGGTTCAGGCTCTGGTTTCAGTAGGAGATGCCAGTGTTGGTCTTGATCCAGTCCAAGTAGCTGGTCAGACGGCTGAAGGCCACTGGATAGCCCTTCTGGCAGCCGGCGACAGCGCCGAAGGAGGTAAGACCAACCTGGACCTTGGAGGACTCGAGCACCAGAGGGCCGCCGGAGTCGCCGTTGCAGGTGGACACACCGTTGGGGGTGGACACACAGATGTTGGAGGCGGTAACAATGGAGGTTCCGTAGGTGTTGGCGCACACGGAATTGGTGATGACAGTCAGCTTGGCCCACTGCAGGTTGTTGGTGACAGCGGTGGCCGAATCGGAGGTGAGACCCCAGCCAGAGGCGATTACAGAGGAGCCGGCGTAAGTGGAGTAGGAGTTGGCGATGGCTGGGATCTGAACTGGCTGGATCTTGGTGCTGTACGAGGTGACGGGGATCTTGATCAGAGAGATGTCGTTGCGCAGGTTGGCGCTGTTCCAGCCAGAGTGGATGAGGATCTGGGAGCTGGCGACGGTGTGGGTGACCTCAGCGGAGGTACGAACGGTGGCACCCAGGTAGACAGTCACGGACTGGACACTGAAAGCGGAAGGGAGGAGAATGATGAGTACTGGGATCCTCAGCGATCCTGGGGGGAGGAGGAGGCACTTACCCGTCGGTACAGTGAGCAGCAGTGAGCACCCACTGGTTGCCGATCAGAGAGCCACCGCACCAGGCGCTGGACGATGCGCTCAGCTTAAGGGATAGTCCCACCTGGTAGGGGAACTGGCCGGTGGTGGCAGTGGTTCCTCCGGTAATGCGACCCTCAATGCTATCCTGGACGGGCATCACGCGGCTGCGTGCCACCAGCTGTGGCTCGGGGAAAGCCGAAGCCGAAGCGATCGCCAAGGCAAGAATGATCAGGAACTTCATGATGATATTGTTGCGTGTTTAGTTAAAGGAACTCAACTGATCTTCCATGGCTCCACACGACTCTTTTATAGAAGCACACCCCGTGTGGTCCGTGATTGGTTTGGATTTTATAAATAGAGTTCCTTCGATTAGATTTGCACGTTTCGAAGACATCATCGGACCAAAGTCGGTGCGTTATCTCAGCAGAAGATTGATCTAAACTTTAGGAACGGGACCGATAAATATTGCTCTAGTTTATAGGTCCAGGTTGGTCTTACCTCCTTCGACGCTGTCGAAGGCCACCGGCTGCCGGTGGCCTTCAGCCGTCTGACCAGCTACTTGGACTGGATCAAGACCAACACTGGCATCTCCTACTAAATTTGGAGGAGAAGTCGAATGACTTCAATTTCGCATAAATATAAAAAGATAACCAAAATCTTCTCTCACTCTTTCCTCTAATGAAACTCCAATGAATTTTAAATGGATCCAAATTGATGATATATACGATAAACGGGATAGAAACTCTGTTCCGAAGTTGATGTACTTATGAAGACCGACCATCAGTCCCCTACACTAACAAATATCAATCTATCGCTATCAAAAAGCGTATAGTGATCCGATTCGCACATGTTCGAAGTACGAATCACAATGGGAGAGGTGCAGAAAGAGAGTGAGAAAGCGATAGGGGGGAGTAGATTCGGGATATGAAAATGAGAGAGACGGAAAATACGACGTGGAAGTGGGAGAATCATCTAAAACGGGAAATGTTCCTTTTTATACCCGATACTCAAAAATGAGTATAGGGGTATATTATATTTGTGGTGAAAGTGGATGTTTGTAACGTCCAGAAAGAAGCGATTACGACCGCGTAAAGTATATATATTCTTGATCAGCACCAATAGTCAAGTCGATAGAGCCATGTCTGTCTGTCCGTCCCTATGAGCGCCACGACATTTTGTATCCAGACTTTTGTGATATGTCACTTTTAAAAGCGTATTTCAAAACTTCACCCCGCCCCCTTCCGCCTCCACAAAGGACGCAAGTCTGTTGCTTCCACAATTTCAAAGAAACGAGAAAGCCAAAAACGCAGAATCATAGAAAATGACTATATTTTCTAGACTGCAGAATCTTAACTAGATCGTATCATTATTATAGCTAGAATGAAGAAAAAATGTTCATTCTCTCTCGCTCTGTCTCTCTCTTCCACACACGTTTTATGGTCGACGTCTAGATCTGACGCCTAGATGCAAACTTCGGTCATATCCCACTGGATAAAGTGTATCTAAAATTTCAACCTACGCGAAACGAAAAATCATTTTGCATTCAAAATTCTAAAGATACTGTTAAAGGGGTTTTGATAAATAATGATCTTATCGTATTGAATTGAATATCGTTTGAATGCGGTGTGATCATCATAGTCAGACTGAAAAAGAAACATTTCCCATTGTGGATGATTCTCCCACTTCCATGTCGTGCTTTCCGTCTCTCTCATTTTGATATCCCGAATCTACACGTGTGCTAACCACCCCTATCTCTTTCTGTAGCTCTCTCCCATTGTGATTCGTACTTCGAACATGTGCGAATCGGATCACTATACGCTTTTTGATAGCGATAGATTGATATTTGTTAATGTAGAGACTGATCGTCGGTCTTCATAGGTACACATATCAACTTCTGAACAGAGTTTCTATCCCATTTATCGTATATAATTCATCAATTTGGATCCATTTGAAATTCATTGGAGTTTCATTGGAGGAAAGAGTGAGAGAAGATTTTGTTTTTCTTTTTATATTTATGCGAAATTGAAGTCATTCGACTTCTCCTCCAAATTTAGTAGGAGATGCCAGTGTTGGTCTTGATCCAGTCCAAGTAGCTGGTCAGGCGAGTGAAGGCAGCGGGGTAGCCCTTCTGGCAGCCGGCAGCAGCGCCGAAGGAGGTAAGACCAACCTGGACCTTGGAGGACTCGAGCACCAGTGGGCCGCCGGAGTCGCCGTTGCAGGTGGACACACCGTTGGGGGTGGACACACAGATGTTGGAGGCGGTAACAATGGAGGTTCCGTAGGTGTTGGCGCACACGGAATTGGTGATGACAGTCAGCTTGGCCCACTGCAGGTTGTTGGTCACACCGGTAGCGGAGTCGGAAATCTTGCCCCAGCCGGAGGCGATCACGGAATCACCGGCGTAAGTGGAGTAGGAGCTGGCGATGGCTGGGATCTTGGCGGCCTGGATCTTGGTGCTGTACGAGGTGACGGGGATCTTGATCAGAGAGATGTCGTTGCGCAGGTTGGCGCTGTTCCAGCCAGAGTGGATGATGATCTGGGAGCTGGCGACGGTGTGGGTGACCTCAGCGGAGGTACGGACGGTGGCACCCAGGTAGACAGTCACGGACTGGACACTGAAAGCGGAAGGGAGGAGAATGATGAGTACTGGGATCCTCAGCAATCCTGAGAGGAGGAGGCACTTACCCGTCGGTACAGTGAGCAGCAGTGAGCACCCACTGGTTGCCGATCAGAGAGCCACCGCACCAGGCGCTGGAGAGAGCGCTCAGCTTAAGGGATAGTCCCACCTGGTAGGGGAACTGGCCGGTGGTGGCAGCGGATCCTCCGGTAATGCGACCCTCGATGCTATCCTGGACGGGCATCACGCGGTTGCGGGACACCAGCTCGGGCTCGGGGAAAGCCGAAGCCGAAGCGATAGCCAAAGCCAGAATGATCAGGAATTTCATGATGATATTGTTGCGTGTTCAGTTAAAGGAACTCAACTGATCTTCCATGGCAGAGTGTGGGTCTTTTATAGCACCCTTAGTTGGGCGAATCGAGCCCCGTCTCCCGATTAGGTTGCATTTCACAAATAGAGCTCCTTCGATTAGATATGACACTACCGACGCGCAGACATCATCAGTTCTCAGTGCGCTATCTTCGGAGATTTGTGCGGAAGATATCGATTGGCGATTAAGCGAAACTTCGGGCATGCGGCCCCAAAATGACTCTCGTATTTTTCGCCGAGCTGTTTGGCAGAAGTCCGGGAGGGAATTAAGGGATATCTGAATTCCCATCTAATCTGAGATAGGACCTGCTCCAGGTGGGATCTTTGCCTGTCTACTAATTAATTTGATTAATTTTTAAAAATATCTTTGAATTAGCAAGGGTTTGCTTTGCTTTGTTCAGCTCTAGACGTGTCGCGGTGACGTCTTCTCTGCGTATCGGACTTTTTCAGAGGTGGTTCTGTTCTGACCAACTATCTTATCTGTTCGCCCTCTTAGGAGCGTAGAGGGTGCCTAAGCTTGTGGTTCCTGTGGTTGTTTACTTTGGACTTTGCTGAAGGTCAAGGGGTGCGTGGGTGTGTATGGCAGAAGGGTTGCTCTAGACCTAAGCCTTAAATCCCCATAGATCAGCTCCCGATTGATGTGCGCTGTATTTTCGGAAGCTTCTTTTGACTTGTGCGCGATTTCACAATCTAAATTCCAAATTAATCAATCAATGATTGTGTATATAAAGTACGGGAGTGCATTGTCTCTCTCTCTCTCTGTGTCTCTCTCTTTTTTGTTTATAAATCAAAAGTACAGTTGTTCTTGCGACCGCAAAAACCCACCGCAACCCTCATGTCCGACAATTGCCGCGTGATTTGCCGACGTGCATTGCCATTTCCTAGAGGCGTGTCGACCAGCCGCAGAGCTGCGGTTAATGGCCCATTCAGATGGCCAATTAAAGACGATTAGCCCCAATATACGTACAAAAAAAGGAACCACAGTACTCGCAATAAAAACAATCAAAAACGAAGAGACAGGTTCAATTTCAACATTGAATTCATTGGAATTTCATTCATCAGAATGCTTCTTTATTGGCCCCCTTTATTGGGTTGTATTCTTACTGCCAAATTGGCTACAGAAATTCTGATGTTATTGTTATTTATCCGATACAATTTCCATTCCACTCAAAGGGCGAAAAGCAGCCCCCTTGTACTCGTAAAAAATACCATTTTCACCTAACCAAAGAGAGGTCTCCCTCCGGTCCACTGCTGGCTGCTGACTCCATTTCATTGTGTGGCTTTCTGCTGCTCAAATTGGTTTTATTGTCTGTCTGGTCCGCCCGCTCGACTATATTGTTTAGCAATTAATGGCCGACAATTAGGCGTTAATTGCATTTAGTTGGTCATTCCCGTTTGCTGTCGGATCCATGGCAAATATGCGGTTATCCTGGTGTAGACAGTCGGGGCACCCAGCTCACAGCCCCCAATGCTCCCGAACGAGGTTACTCCAATCAGGTAGCTGACATTGTGCCACTGGTAGACCAGGGGGCCTCCGGAATCGCCCTGGCAGGCGCCACGTCCGCCCCGTCCATCGGTGCACAGGTGTCGCCGCGTGCTAACCAATCCGGGCAGGAAGGAGCACATGCATCGCTCCTGGTCGAGCACCTCCACATCCAGATAGTGGAGCAGTCGGGTTCTTTCCACGGCCGAGTCCCCTAAGCTGCCCCAGCCCGAAACGGTAGCTGGCTGCCCCTCAACGAACTTTTGTTGCATAAAATCCCCCGCCAGGGCGATGGTTTGCACTCGGTCTGAGGGGATGGCCTTCCTGGGCAGGCGAATCAATGCCAGATCATTGTATGCCCCGAAGCCCAAGTATCCCGGATAGACCCTGAAATCCTGGTGCGACACGAGAAACTCTTCTGCGGCCCCTCCCCTTTCAGCCAACTGAATGACCCCCAGATAAACCCTGGCACTGACGGCATCCGTCAGGCAATGGGCAGCCGTCAAAACGAACTGGAGAGTGACGAGGGAGCCCCCACACTGTATGAGATCGCCATTACTCAGTTGCACGATGATACCCACTTGATGGGGGAACATTCCTCCGTCGGCCAGCTCTCCGCCAGCGATGCGAGTGCTCACTGGAGATGTGTCCTTCTTCTTCTCCTCAAACTTCTCGCAGAGAATGCGATACTGCTCGTAGCCAATCTGCCAGCGACGCTCCATGATCGTCTCATCGTCTGAGGTGTCATCGTCTTCCCTCTGATCTTTCCAGGCCTGCGATTGCGATAGCCCTCCCATTAAGATTAATAACAGAAGGAGTGCTGAAATCGACTGGTGATTCTCCATCTATTACGAGTACGAGTTGGAGTACGAGTACGAGTATATATGAACGTGGAGTGTGTCCGTCTGAGTGGGTCCTCCACATGGAGTACATAGATGGTTTTTGTTCGTTTCTATTGAGTTTTATAGTCGGGAGCGCGTCAGCGTCTTTGGTCTGTGACGGCACGTGTCTGTATCCCCAGTCTGTTAATTGAATTTTCTTGGGTTCCCATTGCAAATTATATACGTGGCAGCAGCAGCAGCAGCAGATGTTTGGCATTCAGTTCTTCAAGCATCCATGTAATTGCCGCACGTTTTGGCGATTATGTTGCTTAGGTTAGGCCTTCGACAGCTCCACCACCATCGGCAGCACTCCACTCCACTCCACTCCATTCCATTCATTCTGCTAACTGCAGCTCCCTTAATTGCTTTCGACTCATTCATTTAGCCGGCTTTCAATTGCATGATGTTCTGTTGGCAGTCTTTACTACCGGGTCTTTACTACCACCGACTACCTTTTTATCAGAGCTTTGATTATTATTTATTTGATTTACTGTCTATACGAGTATGTGTACATATGTTTTTTTTTTTCATTTTGCCATGTGAATCGCCCATTGATAGTGTACCCGGAGGTAGCCAAAGGCACGATATCGTTCTGTCATTCAGTTTTATAACGATCGTAAATGAACTTTCAAGTGTTTTTCCCTTTAATATGCTATTTATTTAATTGGAGATTAGAATGTTTGTAGAACTCTAAGGCTGGTTCCGTGAACTGGGGGAACCTTCGGCAACTACCTTTGAGTTATTGTATAGAGACTTATTAGCAAAATATCTAAATATATATTTTTTTGATTATATGTACATATTTTTGCTACTTATCCTTAAATAATGATTCTTATCCCGAATTATCAGCTTTCTAACTTCAGGAAAAAAAGCACACCTATGCCAAAACTTAGTATTCGGGTTTTATATTTAAATATAAAACATTTTAAAATAAATATAATTGATCACTTTTTTTTAGGAAATTTTTGTTATTTTAATATGAATAATATTTATTTTAAATAAGAAATATATTTTTTGTTAAAACAACTTTATTTGTTTTTAATATACATTTTTTTTGTATATTTAAATAAAATATTTTCTTTTTACGATACATAATAAATTATATTTATAAATTTTTTCAAAATTATAAATTTAACAAATTTCCGTCATTTTTTCTCTAGGTGTATGTAGATCTTTCATAGCCCCTTCAAGTGCGTAAATCCGTTTATTAGTCTTATCTTGAGTAATCGAAATTCTAAAAGATTCCTATGGGAGTTTGTTTTTGTTTTAAAAGTTACTTACATTTAAAAAAACCAAAGTTTTGGAGAACTTAAAATATAAAATACAATTTCTACGAATACATTTATTTATATATTTTAACTGCTACTGAAATACGAGTACTGCCACCTCTTATCGAAAGTTTTTTATCATGTATTTGGAAATCTATTCATGTTATGTATTCCCGATTGCCGAAAGGAAATGCCCCAAGAGCAGAGCACTCTCCCAAGCCTTGTTTGACTTCCATCCAGAAGTGGAAGAACTTTTGTTTGCTCTTTGTTCAATTTTTATTAGATACCATTTGTTTGCGTGCCTCGAATGGATCCACTTGCAACCCCCCGCCCCCCACTCTGGTCGCTCTGTTCCCTCTGTACCCTCTGCACCCTCTGCTGGTGTCTTTAGCTGTTGTTTTCCTGCTACTTGAGGCCGAAACCTTGAAGGTTTGCTGCGTGGAGGAGCTCTGTTTTTATGTTTATGCGGAAATCTGCAGAAATTGTGTCAATATCAATAAAATTAGATTAGTATCGAGACGACGGCAAACAGCCAACCAAAGTGTGGCAGGCAACAAATAAACCCACCCCACCCCAGGACCCTCTCTCCCTTAACCAATTTCATGTGTGTGTGTGTGTGTGTGTGTGTGTGCTGTGGGGTCTGCTTCCGTTATTGCCGAAGCTCACTTCCGGCTACAGAGTGCGTCTGTGTGTGAGGGTGTGTGGGAGGGTCTGTGTATGTGACAAATGGTTAAATGCCTTGAAAATTGTTGCAATTTTCATTCATCCCGGAATTGGGGGGGGGCCCAAAGAGCATACGGGCCGGCAGCCACACTTAATCTCAGTTAATTTTCTTAATGCAAAAGTTTTTTCCACTCTCCACTCTCCCCAATTTCTCTCCTCCTGTTTTTTCGGTAGGCTCAAAATTGCTTTTCACTTAATTCTTTTCGGTGCTGGTGGAATTTTATGTTTCGACCCAATTTTCATAATGCGCAAATTAGAAAAGTTTTTCCCGGGGAAAAGTTTTCTCTATTGGAATTTTACTTGTGTTCTCTTTTGGCTTACAATTCGCTTTAAGGTGGAAGCCCTAGGATTGGTTTCCCATTCACAACATTCCCAGCATTTACGTGGGGCATTATCGCCGAGAATTTCCTCTCGCATTAACAATTGTGTCTCCATTTCTCATCTGGTGATGTAATCTTTTATATAAACACAGCAGTGCTTCCGCGCGCTCCAACACTTTTCATTTGATGTCCGACTAAGAAAAACATTTGCACAATTGGCAGCCCCAGAACAAGGACATAAAGCGGAAAAGCACGAGAGTGTCAGGCGGTGCTGGGGTGGTGGGGTGGTTGGGAGCTGTCGTGGTGGATGTGGCAGAGAGTGTGACAGTCGTCGAATCTCTGGTCCTCCTCCACACACCCGAATCACGTGACGAATGATTGAGTGCACTTCTGTGTGCGCTTTTTCACTTAAAATGTGCGATTTCAATCACTAAAAGCAAAGGTACACATCGGAAAATCGAATCAGCCATGGCTCACTGCGGCTGATGGAGTTCCTCGAGTGCCATTCACCATTCAGTGTTCGGCATTCGCTCGATTCGAAGTTTTTGGCATTCGAAGGACCATTAACCGCAAGGTGACTGTGGCTTTTGGGGCGGATGGGGGCAGGGCGAGTGGCAAAAACAAAAGACGTTCCCAGTGCATTCGTAAGAGAGATAGAGATAGAGAGAGAGAGTGAAAAAGGGAAGTTGGCAATAAAATGCTGAAACAAGTTATGTGCAAAATGTCCGGGACACGTGATGGACTTTTCAGAAAAACCAAAAAAAAAAAAAAAGAAGCAAGTCAAGAGAGAGGGAGAAAGAGAGTTTCGCTAAACATTCCGCACATCAAAACGACGCGCCACTTAACAAATCCCAAGTTGTCGTTGCGTGCCACGTGACTGGCATACGGAGAAGACCATGGGACGAAAAGGAACTCCGGGGCAGAGGGCCGTGCCTGCCGAGAGCACCGAAAACAATAGCTCTGCTTTGGCCTGTCGGAATGTTACTTGTTCGCTTGTTACTTTGGGGAGTATCTGGAGGGGCCGGGAGAATGCCGGCAAAACGCTTTCACGCACGCTCGCCCGGCCAGGCGACCTGCCGCGCTTAATTTCCGCTTGTAATGGACGCACGATAAATCTTGGCAAGCGTTTCCGAATCTCCAGGAGGACTTCTCGCCTGCACGCAATCGAAATACATCTTTTGTTTGGGTTTCCTCTTTTCGGGGTCTCTTTTGGCAGCTTGTTGCACTTGAAAAAGTGCCCGGCGATTTATGGGGAATTTTATTCATTTTTGGGAAAGAGAGAAATACCAGAGAAATATTTTCCAGATTTTGGTACTGAAAATATTCTAGTATTCAATGAATATTAAATATTTTATCAAAAAATTACCATTTTGTTTTAGCTTTCTGCTACAGTCTGCAGTTTATTCAATTTGTTCTGACATTTGCTGGAAAATACTTTAATTTCAATGAAATTTGCTTGGCCTACAACGGTCCTCTTTGTCCCTCTTTGTAGACGCAGACGGAGGCCATCATTTAAAATTGGAAATCCTTTTAACTTGCAACCGCAATGTGCCAATTGCCAGGGCAATTTTTATTGTCGCCCCATCGTTAGTCACAGGCTAAAAGCGTTTGGGTAACAACTATTGCCATGGCCCCGTATCCGTATCCTTTTACCCATCCTCCAGGAGCCCAGGAGCCCAGGAGCCCAGGGGCCCAGTAGCCAGGAGCCAGGAGCCAGCCCACCTGTGCGTGCCGCTTAAGCCGGCGATAAGGCGAGCACATTTGGTGTGGAAGCGAAACCCCTTCGAATCCTGGATCCTGGATCCTGGAACCTGCTACGTGCCTTTCTTTGTGGCTGCGATAAATTGCTATTGGTTTGCAGTTGGGCCAAAAGGTAAAGCTGCTAATTTATTAGCCAAAGCGACAAACAAAGCATAAATAAGCAGAGGAGAAGGGGGCCAGAGTTTTGGTATGGGAATGCTATCCGGATAGCAGTTCCATCAGTCTGACCTTAAACATTCGATTCCATTCCATTTCCACTCTTTGTCGCTCTCCATTTGGAAATGTTGGCTTTAATGTGTCCTGTGTCCTGTGTGTGTGGGTGTGTGGGTGTGTGTGTGCAAGTGGCATATAAATTTCAATGGGCATAAGAAGCCGCTAAGCTTTGGCTTTTCTCTCTGTCTCTCATGTGCCACGCATACAATGGGGCGTTAGGGCTTTCCATTGGGAATATGAGTCTGTGTGTGTGTGTGTGTGTGTGTGTGTGTGTGTGTATATGTGTGTGTGTCAAACAATGGGACAACGACAACGCATATTCAATAATGTCGCTTTCAACTTTTATGCTTGGAAAATGCAAAAATCTGCATGCGGCAAAGACAGAGAGATGGAGAGGGAGAGAAAAGCAGGAAGAGCTGTGCCAGAGGGGCATAGAGGGAATGGGGGAGATAGCGAGTTGGCTAAACACATTCTCATGCATTTTACAATGTCGCCAAAGCCCCGTCGGACTACAGTTCTTGGCTGTGAACAATAGAAAAACGAATTAAACAAAAAGCCAAGCCAGCGGCAGGTCCCCCCGAGTATGACCGTGTGTGTGTGTAGCTGTGTGTGTGTGTGTGTATGTGCAACAACAATAAGTAGAAAAGCAGCAGCTGCAACAATGGGGAACAGCAAAAATGAATGTGCGATTCCAAGTATGTGTGTGTGTTAGATAGGAGAGGAGAGCGGGGGATG